AAACTGGAAGTGGCACTGTGGCTCAAGAGTAGAGCGCTGGCCTTGAGCTGAAGAGTGCAGGGACAGTGCCCAAGCCCAGAGTTCAAGCCCCACGACCAAAACCAACAACAACAACAACAACAAAAAACAACAAAAAACAAAAAAAATAGGGAAAGATTAGAATGATTGTAGTGGAGCATCAGAAACGATGTTCATTTTGTAGAACAGAACCAAGAGGAAGGAAGATTTTGTGGAAATGCTGTCTAGAGGAATAGGTCAATAGAGTGCTGTGTAAGTTATAAGCTTAAGTACTGTACACTGTTCTGGTAGAAATATTAATCAGGAGCTGATCTTTGTCTTCCATCCCTCTTCTCTTTCTCTTTTGTCCTTCTTTCTCTTCCAAGCATGAGAAGAATGGCACTAGTAGGGACTGTATCTCTACCAGTACCAAGTGTGAGGATTTTAAATATAAAGACTGCTTCAAACTGTGATTGTGGATGAATGTACTGAGAGTTTAAGGAATGAGAGAAGACACAAAGGCTCACAATGGAACCCTGAGGAACAATTTACAATGGAAAATCAGAGAAGGGAGACCCGAAATAAAAGATGAAAAGAATGGCCAGAGAAGATAGAAACTACGAGTAGGCTAGGCACGAAGGCACAGGCCCATAATTCTAGTACTTGGGAGGCTAAGGCAGGAAGGAGGGTGTCAAGTTCAAGACAAGCCTGGGCTACATAGTGGAAAACCTGTCTTGCCCTCCTTTCCCAAACAAAAACATCACAGACGCATAGGGAGGAGAAAGTCTTAAAGTGGGTGTGATAGGCGCTGAAAAGGTCATGCACAGGACTGAGGACATGACTCAAATGGTAGAGCGCTTTCCAGCAAAGGCAAGGTCCTAGTACTGAAAAAGAAAAGTCATGAATAATGGTTCAAAATTTTTCACTGGATTAGATACCTGAAAGGTCACTGGTGAGCCAGAAGCCATTTTAGTGGTATGTGGCCTTGAAGTTGTGATGCAGTGGGTCAACAATGCATTGGTTAGAACAAGATAGATAGGCAACATAGTTGGAGGGAGGAGGTAGTGTTGAGGAGGATAGGTCTATGGGCTTCAGTAATAACTGATGGGCAAGATTTAAGCATTAAGCACATTGAAGGGCAAGGAAAGGAAAGGTTACAAAGACTGTGAGGATGGGAGCTAGAGCAGAGAGGAAAGGGCTAGCCTTGAAACCTTTTCATTACAAGGCATCCAAGGGGAAGGGCAAAAGGTGCTGCAAAAGCCATTGATTGATAACAGCAAGTTACACCAGTGAGGAGCTAGGGTGTACTTTGGCATGTGGATAAGATCCTCAGCACTGCAAAACCCAAATTCCTGATAACAAGTGGTAATGTAGTTTAAAGCTATACGTATACCAGTGAGCATGGCGGCAAGGGTGAGCATCTCATCCACGCAATCAAACTCGCATGAGGCCAGCAGAGCTTTGGACAGCTCAGGGGGTAGGGGGAACTCGGATAGGATGATTCCCAGGTCTGACAGATTTCCATCATCATCTAGGGCTGCCAGATAGTCTAAGTCTTCCAGGGCCTGCATCAATGCTTCTGGAGCTGAAGGGGAAACAGGGTTTAGAAGGCATGAGGTCTGAGCTGGGTGGTAGAGGGCCGCTCTTGGGCGGGACAGGGGCTCACCAGGCCGGTCCAGGAAGTGACACTGCCCTGGCTCTGCAATCTGTCTTCTCTTTAGTAGTAACACCAGAGGGCTCAGATTCTCTTCACAAACTCTGGGGTGGGGCAGGGGGGGAGCCTCTAGTTCTAAGATGGACTTAGGATATAGGCAGAGGCAAGATCCTGGGAGAAAAAAAGACCTAGGGAAGTAGCTTTATCAGGGCATATATGCTGGAATACTTCTAATGTTGGAGCTGAAAACAAAGGTTCTTACCTGGTGGGAACCTTCTTGCCCGCAGTCTTCGTGCCTCTGCCTGGCACTTGCTAATTGGTCTTAAGACTTGAGATTCAGCTCGGATTCGAGGATTATAAACCTGTTGTCCAATCCCCAACCAAGGCCAAGACAAGATCAGAATGAGCTGTTTCTATCTTAGACCCCATACCATCTCATCTCTCACTCACACTGCGAAGCTCCAGTCCTGAATCAATGACGTGTCCAATGGAAGGGAGGGAGAAAGAGAAGTCTGCCAGCCAGTGAGTGACCACGACCTTCTGGGCACCCATGTCTATGTCTTCATACACAGCCTGAACAGCTTGATCACAGCCTGGGTGAAGGGGTAGCACTCGTGGTGGAGGCCCTGGGAGAGTGAGGGTCCCCACCTCCTTGGACAGGGATTCACAGCACAGGGAAATTTCCTGAGGAAAGGGTGGGGTATTAGGCAATTCTTACCTTTTATAGGGTATGTGTGTGTGTATGTGGCTACCTGCATACCTCTGAAAAATTGATGAAAGCTATGACCCTTCACTGTAATATGCAGACTTAAAAAGCTGGAGATGATATAATTTCAATAGTTCACTAAGCCACAAATCTACACATCACAAGGAATCTGGAAATACTTGGTATTTTCCCAAAGACCCCAGAAGAGAATAAATATTACTACTCAGCTATTCCTAATCTGCATTATTCCCACTGGGACAGGAAGATGGTATATATGAGTACTTCCTTTTGCCTTTTTTTTTTACCTCCTCACTGGGCAGGTACACTAGCACATCTCCTGGAGCCCCCTTCTGACACAACTCAAGCACAGCTTGGCATGCAGCTTCCACTCGATCAATAGGGACAGCGTCCCTGTAGACAGGGATGACAGGACTCACACCAGGCTTTCTGGGTACATGCACAATGGGTGGATTGCCCCAGAAGTCTTGGAGCTTAGGTTCAAGGGCTGGGTCCGTAAGCACAACCAGTCTAGGATCTCCTGGAAGGTTTCCCAGTTTGGCATCTCGCAGCAGCCCCTGGAGTAAATCTGAGGCCACTGATCGTTCCTGGGCTTCATCCAGCACTAGCACACCCCAGTCTCCAGTGCCCCGGGTGGAAGCCACCTCCTGCAGAAGCAGTCTGTCCCAGCAGAACCTGTTGACATTGGCAATGGGCAGAGAACTCAATGTGGACATTGACAAGCCCCAGAAGTCCGGGGACTTCTCCCTAGGGCATTTATATACTTATAAAGATAACTGACTTCCTGAGATGTAGATCATAACTTTGACCCCACAACCCCCAGGCTGGTTGGAACCCTCTTGGTTCATAACTATACTCCAGCTAGGAAGCAAGATTTCCATGGTGAAAGTGAGGTGAACCTTTGAGACCTTTGGCTGAGGTTCAATGGCTTGGTTTGGCAGTTTTATACATGATTTAAAGGGCACGTTAAGAGGGACTGGTGAGATGCTGGACAACTGGGCTTGTTTCAAATTGGTGCATGAGGTTTCTAATGTCTTGGTTTCCACCTGAGTATTAGATTTGGGTTAAGCTTGCAGAGGGCCCCACCTGAGCATGGTGTTGGGCCCTGTGCAGTCCTCCTGAGGGATGCTATATCCAACCTCATGACCCAGGGTCAGGTCCATCTCATCAGCAACCCGAAAAGCCAGGCTCAGGGCTGCCAGTGGGTAAGGTTGAGTAACAGTAACTTGACCCTTCTGGAATCCTCTGGCCAGAGCAAACTCTGCACACCACTGGGGAATCTAGGATAGGGAAGGACAACCAGTCAGAAAGACACAGGACCTTGGTCAGGGGAATTACAGTAAGTTTAATTCTACTTGTGGAGTTCCCCAGTCCTTTGCCAGCACAGTGGCACCAGCTTAACCCATCTCCCCCACATAGACCACCCCTAGTCCAGGGAAAAACCCAATTCCTTAATCCCTCCCTTTGTGTACTCCCAGGATTTCCCTCCACCTGAGTGCTCTTGCCAGAGCCAGGCTCTCCAGATACCAGCACCACTCCATTGGGGCTACTCTCCAAATGCTCCAAGAAGATGAAGCGAGCAGCCCAAATGGGCAAGGCTCTGCGCTGCTCAAGGATCTCATAGTAGCGGGAAGAGAAGGGGAGACCATCAAAGGGGTTCACAGCCAGTTCAGACTCTCCAGGACTTGGAGTAAATTCTTCTGTAAGCCTCAGAGGCAGAGAGCTCATGATGGCTTAAGACCTATAGAAGGCAGGGCAGTAAAAGTAAGGCTTCACATCTCTCAACCGATTCTATCTCATCTGGCTCTATCCTTAACCGCTACCCTTAGGTGCTAATACCCTGGGGCTATCCATTTCTTGCTTGTCAGGAAATAGTGCTGGGTATTTCAAAGGAACCTTTAGAAGTGGACTTTTGCCCTGTTTGTAGTTGGGTGGTAAAAGCCTTATGTCTACTATAGGGATCCAGAAAAAGGAGGAATCATGAAGCAGCAGTCTAAGGGAAGATCTAGAGGAAAATAAAAAATAACAGAAAGAGGTGGATAAAAGGGCCAAAAGGATTCTGGATTCAAACCTGATTGGAGCTCTGAGCAGTCTGGATGGCAGTCAGTTCTGAACCCTCCCTGCCAGTCACCACACCAAGCCTGAGTTGCCAGAAGTACAAAGGTAAATTCCGGCTCCACCTCCAGTCTTGAAGCTTGCTTGAGGGTGGGGCTATTTGTTATACTTTATTTAACTTATCCAAGAAACCTATAGGTAACAAGCTTCTGTCACACAGAGTATTTCTTAGGCGTGTGTTTGTGAAAGGCATTATGGGACCTGTAGTTTTGTAATGGCAGCTTCACAAACAAGCTCATCACCAAAGCTGGGATCCAGTTGCTACCTTCAGTTGTTACACTATCTTAGTATTGCCTGGCTTCAGTGGCTCATGCCTGTAATCCTAGCAACTCAGGACGCTGAGATCAGCGGACCAGTTTGAAACCAGCCTAGGCAGGGAAGTTCCTGGAACACTTATCTCTAACCACTAAAAGAGCCATAAGTGGAGCTGTGGCTCAAGTGGTAGCACACTAGTCTTGAGCACAAAAACTCAGGGACAGCACCCATGCTGAGATCAAGCCCCAAGAATGGCACAAATAAACAAAAACACTTTCTTAGCATCACTCATCTCTTGGCATGAAGTCTGTCCAGACAGTTCCATTCTGACCATCTCTCCAAAGCCTAAAAGGAAACCCTCACTCTCATAACCCCCCAACCATGGAAAAAGGAATTTATTCAGGGGCTTTTGAGACCCAGAGAAGCAACAGAGACCTTGAGTGAAAACCCTGAATTTAATGTGAGATTGGGGGAGCCCCATCCCTCCCTTTTACCACCCACTCATCCGGCCTGTTGTGAGTTGGGTGAGGGCTGCCCCCAGTCTCCGGTCCTGCGGCTCTGGGTGCCATGTGTTCCTTTGAGCTCAGTCAGCCTCCTGGGCTTGTCTCTCTCTGAATCTCCTGTGGGACATGAGGAGATACATCGTGTGGGCTTTGTTGAATTAGCTCCATAAAGTCCTTCTCCAACTTGTTGCTTCCTATTGTCTTCTAAGCCCCTCACCTTCGTGCATATTCATACAGTGCCTGCTTGCGCTCCTGCAGGCTCTCTTGACGGGCCCAGGAAGACTTGGCAAATGTTAGGGCTGTGGGCTGAGGGGTCACCAGGCCAGAGCTGGGGAACTGAGGTGATCACAATGTCAGAGGGCTTGCGAAGTCATCATCATTAAACACGCATCGAATGCCTACTTTGCAAGAGAGGCACTGTGCTAGGGTCTCCGGATCAAAAAGAGAAGTCAGGGAAAGGGAGTATGTAGACTACCCCAACCTACCCTAAGTCTTGGACTTGATTACTTCCTGGGTCTCACCTTTGGGGCAGAGGCTGTGGGTAGGGACTGAGTTTCCTCAGTGATATCTTCAGGCATGAAAGCTACAGCTCCCTCAAGCAGATTAGTGATGGTCAAATCTACACAGCCAGTCCTTGCTAGGAAGACAGGAAAAGAGGAGTGTCCATTCCCTGCTCATCTGCTTCCTTCACCACCTACTTCTGTTCCCTGCTTGTCACTCTGAGGCCACCCTTTCCCATACCCAGGTCTCTCTGGATAACACTCAACGGAACATGGGGCAAAACCTCCTTGACTCTCTGAGCCAGAGTTGCCAGCTGCACATCAGGAGAAGGGCCAGGTGAAGGGGAGAAAGAAGACTGGACTGAAAAAAAAAAGTCAGATTAGATACAGGGTAAGTAGAAAACCAGGAGACTTATTAGCACAGAATGGAGAAAAATTAAAACCTAAAAACCTGTGTACAGAGACTACACACCTGACTGGGGGCGTAATCTGGGGTGTCTTTGTCGTTTCATGTGTTCTGCTTTGTCTGCAGGAGTAAGCCGTGTCCCTATCTGGCCCAATTCCTTGGCCACCAGCTATAAAGAATTGGAAGATCATGAGTTAAGAGCACAAACTTTTTACCTTCCCTTTTCTCCCAAAGGAGGAGTCCCACTTCTACCCTGCCTGTGTAGATAACCACCTGTTGTACACGGAATGCAAACTCCTCATTTCCCTCCCCCAGCTGGCGACGGACAGGATGAAGCCACCTGCAAAAAACAATCCAATACCATGTTGAGCCACCCAGGACAGAGGGTGTCATTTCCTTCTTACTTTGGAGCCAATATCTAAGGGTAGAAGGTTAGTAAACAGTATTGCCTGTGGTGGAACCTTAACCTTCTTTCTACAAATGGACAGATCTTGATCTTCAAGTGAGTACTTTCCAAACCACAAAGAAGTGAGGACAGTTAGTACCTTACTTGATACACCGTGAAAGGGACGAAAAGTGACCACAGCAGTTCTGAGACCCAGGAGGCATCTGACACAGTCTGAGGAGAGAGCATGAAGTGAAGCCTATGCCAGAGCCACAGGCTGAAAACTTCCTTTCCAAACCCCATATTCTTTTGTCTAACGCGCACTCACCACAGAGACCAGGGGTCTCTGAACTTGCAGGGTAAGAGGCTGTACAACATCCTGGATGGAAAATGGCCAAGAACTAGAAGACAACAGAGAATAGGATAGGTATCCAGCTAGCTTAGCAGCTCACACTGTCAAATTGCATAAGAAGGGAAATGGGGAATTAGGAAATCTGAGAGCAGTAGGCCGACAGGTAATGAACTGGGGAGGGAGCAGGATAGGGGCTAAAGAAGGCTGTGGAAACACAAGGATTCACAAGCTTGACCACCAACTCAGTGGGAGCCAGATACCTGTGCTTACCCACCTGAAACGTAGGAGCCCCTCTCGTCCATTGGTGGCCTCTTCTTCTGGGAAAAGCAGCAGAGGTGTAGGGGGATGCCTCGCGGAAGCACAGAATCTCTTGAGTGATTCCACCAACTCCCCCTGCCTATCCATCTCCATGAAGCCCCGAGACCAGCACACAAAACTGGGAGGACTATTGAGTAGAGGCTAAGAATGGAGGAAAAGTAAGAATAGGATGACATGATGGGGAAGGAAAGAAAAGTGACATGGGGGGAAATGAGTGGAGTTAGGGGTAAGGCTCAACATCCCCCCCCCCAAGAGAAACTAGAGCCAGTGGAGGTGAGGCCAGGGATCCACCCGGGGGCGCTCTCGGCATCGACCCCCGACTCACGGTGCTACAGGTGGTGAGCAGGTTGATTATGTTGTGGTCAAAGGGTGTCACATGGTTGGAGATGAGGACCCTGACGCGGTGATCGCGGAGTCCGGTGTCTTCCTGCCGGGCTACGAGCCCCAGCACCGCACACATGGTCCGTACCACGAACCTGAGAACACAGGCGGCGGTGACTGTGCGGTCTGCATCGGACCCGGCCCCACACACCCTCGGGCGCCAGAGGCGGCACCTGCGAAGGACGCTGTCTGGCAGCGCACAGCTGACCAGGAAGACGTGGATCCCGAGAAAGAGGCGTAAGATCAGGAGGCAGAACCCGACGGGCGCGTAGAGCAGCAGCGCGAGGAGCAGGAAGCCGTCCGCCGGGAGCCTGCGGGCGAGAGGCGAGGTGACGACGCGTCGGAGGACGCGGGAGCCGGCCTGCTCGCGTCCTACGGAACTCTTACCGGTGCGAGTCGAAGAGCCGCTCCGGCCCCGGTGCCGGGGGAGGCTCCATCACAGCTGCTTCAAGGAAGGCCAGCCGCCGCCGCCATCTTCACTCCGGGCCGCAGGGGCTCCTGGGAAGGCGGAGTCTTTGGGCAGCCCAAGTGCGGTAGGCGCCCCGGAAGGGCTAGCGGTCCCAGCATGCCTCACGAGCCCTGGGGCCCGCCTCAAACCCGCGTTCCGTAGGGACCACATTTCCCGGCATCCACGCGGCGGGGCGGAGTCAACCTGCGGGAACCCTGGGTCCCAGCGTGCACTGCTGGAGGACTTCAAGTACCGCCGTGCCTTGCGTCCAGCCGTCCTCCGGCCCCAGGCCTGAGCACCGCCTCCGAGCAGGGCGGGCGAGAAGGCAGCCGAGGCGGAGCTCATGGCTGCACTGAGGGCGTGGCGGGGTACCGGCTGGAGCCTCCGGGGGTGGCGGGGTGCCGGCTGGTGTCTCCCGGCCTGGCGGGATTTGGGGGGCTTTCTCTGGGGAAAGAGACCCTTGTTGACCCCTGACCTTAGGGCTCTGCTGACGTCAGGAACTCCTGCTCCGCGGGCCCGGTTGACTTGTGGGACTCCCAGTCTCCTGGCTCGGTTATCCGTGGGGGTCCCCGAACCACGGGCATGCCTGAGGTCTGGGATCCCGAATTCCTGGGCACGATGGACTACAGGGGTCCCAGATCCCCAGACCCAGGAGGTCTCGGAGACCCCTGGAGCTCGTCCGCGTGTGTGGCTGGCGGTGGCGCTGGGTGCTGGGGGGGCAGTGCTGCTGTTGCTGTGGGGCGGGGGGCGAGGTCCTCCATCTGTCCTGGCTGCGGTCCCTGCCCCGCCGCCCACCTCTCCTCGGAGCCAGTACAACTTCATCGCGGATGTGGTAGAGAAGACTGCACCTGCCGTGGTCTATATTGAGATCCTGGACCGGTAATGGTGGGGTGGACCAGGAGGTCTAGAAGCCACGGGCTGGAAGGCAGGTGAGTCGGAGGGAGTGGGCTTCCTCATATCATACTTCTCCCCATTGCAGGCACCCTTTCTCGGGCCGCGAAGTCCCTATCTCAAACGGCTCGGGATTCGTGGTAGCTTCGGATGGGCTGATCGTTACCAACGCCCATGTGGTTGCTGATCGGCGCCGGGTGCGAGTGAGGCTACGTAGTGGAGACACATATGAGGCTATGGTCACAGCTGTGGATCCCGTGGCAGACATTGCCACGTTGAGGATTCAGACCAAGGTAGGGGTCAAGGTACATCAGATCTGGTGGGAGCTGTTTACTTGCTTCCAGATCTAGGATGACACGTTTCTCTCCTACCCTCTCCCCCTTAGGAACCTCTCCCCACACTGCCACTGGGATGCTCAGCCGATGTCCGGCAAGGAGAGTTTGTTGTTGCTATGGGAAGCCCCTTTGCACTGCAGAACACGATCACATCTGGCATTGTCAGCTCCGCTCAGCGTCCAGCCAGAGACCTGGGACTCCCCCAAACCAACGTGGAATACATTCAGACTGATGCAGCTATTGATGTAAGTCCTGATATTATAGAAATGACAAGGTAGCTTGGGATAGGAGAGAGTCTGTGTGTTATGAGCACACACTGATATATAGTGAATGAACTTAGGTTCAGAGGTTGAGCACAAAAATGTGGCCACTCCACAGGCTAGGAAAACATGATTTGAAGAATGTGCCTACATTTGGATTGTGCCTCTGGGACTTAGAATTCCCTAATCTTTGTCATGTTTTCACCTTTGTCTTGTGTACAGTTTGGAAACTCTGGGGGTCCCCTGGTTAACTTGGTGAGTGTGATATTCTTCCAAGAATCCATACTCCAAGGTCAGTGTGGAGAGGGTGGGTTTTCCTCTACTCAAGGAAGTCTGGTCATTTCTGGTCATTTCAACTTCTAGTATCCAACCAGATCTCCCCAACAATCCCTACTACTCTTGTTTAGGTGTCCCTGTCTCCTACTGTCTGTTTGGGCTAGGGAACAGGGGGCTGTGTCCCTGCAGGATGGGGAGGTGATCGGTGTGAACACTATGAAGGTCACAGCTGGAATCTCCTTTGCCATCCCTTCTGATCGCCTTAGAGAATTTCTACTTCGAGGGGAAAAGAAAAGTGAGCCTGGCCTTGTGTGGGAAAGAGGTTTCTTTAAAATGGTGGATGGGAAAAAAGGGAGGGGTATTTATTGGGACTTTTAGGAGGGAGGGTGGGAAATAGGAGAAGGAAAGACATAGCTAGATGGAGCTCATTTGTCTCCCTTCTACAGACTCCTGGTTTGGAATCAGTGGATCCCAGCGCCGCTACATTGGGGTAATGATGCTGACTCTTACTCCCAGGTATGAATGTAAGGCATAGTGATATGTAAGACCACTAGTGTGATCAATGTTTCATAGTTGGCTCCTCTTTTGTCGGGCTTTGCTCTTAGTTATGTCATTATCTTAGAGCATGAGCTGCTACTATCACAAGAGCTTCTCTTACCTTGTTCCATCTGGTACTCAGTTCTATTCCATTCTGTTACTGCTTTGATTTAAAGCAGCACTAAAGGGTATTTTGTCTCTAAATTAGCCTAAACCTGGATTGTCACTTTTGTAGGAATACTCTAATTTCCTATTCCCATGTCCTTATCTATACTGATTTTGTTTTATATAGTTAATATCAAAACTATGCTCCTAGGCTGAGCTTAAGTTCTACTTCTTCATAAAGCTTCTCAGGATTTGAAAATGCTATTAGTGCTATTGACTTAGCACTGTGTATTATCTGGAGTTTGTTATCTCTATGTATCTATCCCACTAACTGCTAGAAGGCAGAAAGTGAGTTCCTTCAGACCTCTGATACCCAGTGTATGTCCTGGTCAAACATTTGTCATTGTGTTGATGAAGTGAACCCATAATGGGGAGAGCTCCTGAGTGTGGCTAATAGGGTGATCCGTGCCCTTTCAGCATTCTAGCTGAACTACAGCTACGAGAACCAAGTTTTCCAGATGTTCAGCATGGTGTACTCATTCATAAAGTCATCCTGGGCTCGCCAGCACACAGGTAAAAAGAGACTGCTCTTGAAGTGGGGTGGGGAAAAGTGCACGTGAACAGAGTTGTCCATTTCCTCTTTACTCTTTGCCCATCTCCGTAGGGCTGGTCTACGGCCTGGTGATGTGATCTTGGCTATTGGGGAACACCTGGTACAAAATGCTGAAGATGTGTATGAAGCTGTTCGGACTCAATCCCAGCTGGCAGTGCGGATCCGTCGGGGATCAGAAACCCTGACATTATATGTGACCCCTGAGGTCACAGAATGACTGGATTAACAAGTGTATGGGGCCCCTGCACTGATTTCCTTCCTGCCTTCCTAGCCTCGGTTCTGAGGGCACCTGGGCGGAGGAGTCAGTGAAACATTGGGGGCAGGTCCCTCCAACTCCAGTACCGACCCTAGGGTCCGAAGAATTGAACACTTTTTATATAAAATAAACTTATATCTAGTAACATGTTATCGTCAAAAGTTGAGGGCAGGAGCTGGATATTTTCCCCCACCAGAAGGCTAGAGGTAAAGCTGTATTTCCCCTGAACGTAGGAGAGCTACAAGGAACTGACCATCCTGACCTCTCTATTCAAGAAAATGAGCTGCTGCCACTTGTTGCTCGGGCAGTGATTCAGGTACTGATCTTTGTTGTGTGCTCTGCTCGGTGCTGGGCCTGGGTATACATTCCCCGTGCTCGGCCACAGATGCTGACAGCTGGCCTGGGAAGGTGGGCGATGGCAAAGTTCCGCATCCATAGTGTTCAGATGATACATGTGAAGGGCCTTCTGACTTCTGGCCTTCTGTGGTAAGCTCCTGAGGTAAAGGCAGCCTCAGACCCCTGCCATTGAGGGGAGGGGGGTAGTGGTGGTTTGCAGAGGAGGGTGGTGGCACTTAGACGATCTGATTACTGGTCTGGCCAGGATAGCGCTCAAACCTCCTGTTGGCCTCTTCACTGAAGGCATCACCTGCAGAGTGGATAGGTAGTATGTGTAGGTGGTACTCTGCACGGAGGTAGGAAGACAGACCTACTGTGGGGAGGGGTGAGTAGAAATGGAGAGGCTGAGATGTAGAGAAGTGGGTGAGAAGGCACAGAAACCACTTAGGGAAAGCATTTCCCTCTCATCCCCCAAAATCTTTTGGGTTGCCCCATCCCACTGAATACCAATGTGGCAGTTGTGCACCCAGATACGGTGTCCATCATATTTGCAGTTACATTTCATTGCGTTGTTGGTGAAGTCACTCTCTGCTACTTCGAAATTTGGGTTGATGACCACCTGTGAGTGATAAGGACCCCTTGACCCAACTATAATCAAATCCTGAGGTTTCTTTAAACCACCCTCCTCTTCCCCTATGCAATGGAAGCCCCAGATTCCAGGCACCTGGAGAATGTAGTTTCCTGGCTTCACATCTGTGATGTCAATCCATTGGCAGTCAATATCGTGCCTGTAGAGATCCCAGCAACCCACAGTGATGCCTTGCTCTCCAAAGTTGGCACATTCATACCTCTTGGAGACATCTGAAGAGATTGACATGTCAGTGACAGGAAAGGCTGTGCTTTGGAGATGCTGGAATCCACTCTAGGCCCCAACTCACCCTCCTGACATTCAGTGTCTTCTAGACAGAAACTAGCTTTGTGGCCCTCAGCCACCTTGGTGCCATTGGGGGTCAGGATATCATAGTGAGTGAAGATGTCCATACTGTGGTAATGCCTGTGGGAACAAGGACACTCCTGTTTTCCCTCTCCCCATCAGGCTTGCCCCAGCTCCTATGGCTCGCCCTTCTACCTGACCCCCTCCATCCTCTTACCCGTGACACTCATGCCACACCCAGGAGTGGCGACCAGCCTTGGGCCTAAAATCAGCTCGTCCCAAGTTGTGGATCTGAGAGGAGAATCGGAGTAGACGCCGGTGGCCATAAGGCCAGTTGGCCGAGCGGGCAGAGCTGGCCAGGCAGTTCTCTTCAGCAGCACAGTACAGCATGTGCAGGGGCCGGTCCTCAATGTAGGCTGTCTCCTGCACCAGGGCAGAGTGCAGCAGCAGATCTGAGGCAGCTGCATTAGAAAGGAAAGAGAATGATAGAAATCACTTCCGATGGAAGGGTAAGAGGGAGTGAGCCCATCCCTAGGGTGAGAAGGAATACCCTTCCTTCACAACCCTGTCTCCCTCCAAAGGGATGACCCAGAGACTTTCTTTGCTGGCTCGCAGTCCCCCACCCACCGTTCACTCACTCTCAGAACAGATGACTCCAGCTGTGAAGCGGGTGCCCGTCCTCTTGCAGGTGATGTGACTGCTGTGATGGGTGCACTGGTCCAGGGACAGCTCGGTCCCTGTGCAGCGCACTCCACTCATCACCACCTCAGTGATATTCCCTGAGTCCCAGTACCAGGTCTCCTGGGGACATATATGCAAATGTTTCTGTGAGACCCCCCACCATCTAGCCTCCTGGGACAAGGGACTAATTTCCCCAGTCCTTTTCCTCAAACAGGCTTTGGAGACAATAGCTTTGGCTTTCCTCTTCTCCTCCCTATTTACCTGCAGGCCGTGATTGGCATAGCCCAGACCAAGTTGCCTACAGGCCACCATGGCCTCCAGTGTTCCCCAGTCATCCCCACAGATGAGACCCCAGCGAAGATGTCCAGGTCCTCCTGTTCGCACCTCAACTCGCCCCTCATATCGGCTGCGGCCCCCACTAAGTCGGATCTGTAGTGATACAAAATAGAAGCACAGATAAGGGGTTTGGGGAGTAAGCGGTTGGGAATCTGTAGCAGGGATGTGGCTGAAGAGTGACAGAGAGGGATACAAGTGCTGGTGACAGGTGGGAGCTGTGGGATGGTGGGGTTGGGCAATGATCTAGGAGCCACCAGGCTGGAGGGTGGAGGCTGTGACCAGATAGAATGAGAGATAGAGGCTTTACCCAAGGTAAAGGACTGACCTTGGTCTCCACCCCAGTGTAGGGTAGGTTGCATCGGACACCAGCATCCTGGTTATGGGAACAGTCCTCAGCTGTAATGTTCTTGTAGGGACATTTCCAGAGGGAGGGCTCCTGGCCAGAACACCGAACTTCACTCAAGTGGATGGCACCCATGCCTAGGGTCAGAAGTGAAAGCTGGGGAGGTTGTAACTTCATTGGCCAGGGGACCCCTTCCTGAGGAATATAACCCCGGGAGTGTGAACCGTCTACTCATGCCTTCCCATCATCTGCCCACTCACCTTGCCCCATGCGAGCACCAGTCAGAGCCTCTCGAGCGGTGCCAAAGCCCAACTCCCGACACACGACACTGGCTGCCAGGAGGTCCCACTTGCGGTCACAGACTGTACCCCAGGTGCCAGCTTTTAGGACTTCTACCCTGCCCTCACCAGGATGGGCTCCACCCTTTAAACGTACATGGGCCTATAGAAGAAAGAGAGAGAGGTGCTCAAGAGAAGTGAACAGAAACGTCAGCCTCAGATGGCTAAGCAGACCAGGGAGATGAATGCCAGTTCGGTGGGAGGGAACGGTGCTGGCAGGTCTGTAGCCACCCCCTGGAAGATGCCTCTCTGCCCTTAAAGGTCAAGGCTGTGCTTAGCAAGGGGGTGGCCTGGTTTTTGGGTTTTTTTTTTTTTTGGTAGTGTGTGTGGGGGGGGAGGGTGTTCTTCACCTAGGGTAGAAAAGGTCACAGTCACTTTCTTGGGCTGGGCGTGTGTGTGTGTGTGTGTGTGTGTGTGTGTGTAGCTCAATGGTAAAACATTTGCCTAGCATATGTGAGGCCCTCACCACAAAACAACAAGAACATTCATAGGCTCACACACCTCTCCCTGAAGCTTCGACTGCGGTTGCTTCTTTTGGCCAGTAGATGCTGTGTAGAGAGGGCCAGGCACGCAGCTCACCACCACAGGGGCTCCCCCAGGGCACCTGGTGGTGTCATTGGCACGATAGAACTCCAAGGAACAGAGGGAGAGATGGGCTTCCGTGCCCACGCATGCCACCCCATGCAGACCAAAGAAGTGTTGCTGCCTCTGGGCCAGCAGCCTGGGAGGACAGGAGTAAGGTGTAGTAAGGTAAAACAGTTATTTTCCCACCTCCCTTCTACAACATGGGCTTGAACCGCTCAGGGCCTGAGTATCGTCTCTCAGCTTTTTTTTTTTTGGGTCCGGTCATGGGGCCTGAACTCTGGGCCTGGGCGCTGTCCCTCAGCTCTTCAGCTCAAGGCTAGCACTCTACCACTTGGGCCACAGCACCACTTCCAGCTTTTTTTTTTTCTTCTGATTATATGGTGCTGAGGAATCGAACCCAGGCCTCATGCATGCAAGGCAAGCGCTCTACCACTGAGCCACCTTCCCAGCCCCTCAGCTCTTTTTTTTTGCTCAAGACTAGCACTCTACTATTCGAGCCACAGCTCTACTTCTGACTTTTTGATGGTGAATTCGAAATAAGATTCTTACAACCTTTCCTGCCCAGACTGGCTTTGAACCATGTTTCTCCAATCTCAGCTTCCTGAGTAACTATGATTACAAGAGTGAGCCAGTGACACCCAACATCCTTAGCCTTCCATGACCTTGCATTCATTCTTCCCCTTCTGTGCTTCCCTGGGAGGGACGAAAGGATTGCTGAGTGTGTAGGCTGAAAGACTCCACAACCCAGATAGGAGGGTCCTTGGGGACCTTATGCAGCAGAACTGCCCTAGGGCAAGGACGGCTGGACCTAACTTGCCTAAAAGAAGCTTGTTCTCAGTGGTTTCATGCTTCAGGTCCTAAAAAACCCAAGACTAAAGCTTCTGTGAAAAACAAATGGGAAGCCAGGGCTGCCTAGCTTGAAGAGATGGTCAGGAGGGAGTGGCGGACATAAACAGGAAGCCTGAAAAGTCAGTGTGCTAACCCTTTTAGAATAACTAGACTAGAATAACCAAATGAGTCAAGATGTACAGAACGGAGGAAGTCTTAAATCTGAATGGTTTCTCAGAGGCCAAGGGACTTCTAGTCCAGAAACTGACAGTACAATGAGTGCAGCTGGTGGCGAGCACAGGAAGGATTTGTACTGGCATATGCAAGAAGGAAGACATCTCAATGTAGCACAGACAAAAGTTGGAGGAGCTACATAGCCAGAAAAGGAAGGTGGATGTGAATAAAACAAAATGGCAGAGACAACCTGGGGCCTGAGCCAAGCTGTAGATGTCTTTAATAAGGGAGTCCCTGCTTCTAGAATTTCAACATAATATTTTCCCACAGCTGTCTGAGCAAGAAAATAGAATTAAACAGAGATGTTAATGTTCGGAAATACTGTAGAGATGCTTGAGAGAAGTAAGGAAAGTGGCTTTTAAAAAAGATACTGATAGAGTTTCAGAAAGGTGTGTGGAGGAGAGAGGTGTACCCTCTTCTAGAACACCTGGAAGCAGATGAGGCTGGTGTTGGTTGAAAGGGCCTGTGAGGTTGATTTGGTGGTGGATTGCTGCAGTAAATTGCCCTTGGTATCAGAGGGAAAAAAATAACATAAACCATTGGCTAGGAAATTGCAAGAAGGAGGAAGTTTGTAATACAAAACAGGCTAGGGAAGCTTGAAGACTCTTCAGAATACCTTTGGAAGCTCAGAAGAAATGTATCGTGAAGATAGAAGAGGAGAGATCAGGTGCTCTTCTAAAGTCCTGTTCAACTGAAAATAAAAGTCAAAGAGGCCATTCCAGGAAAAAAACAATAAAAAATATATGCCTTAATGTAGGGACCAGGGAAGGCCAGAGTATGGCCTTGATGTATGAGCAATGATGACCCTAAGCTAGAAAGGCACTGAAAGAACATCCCCAAATGTCAAGTTGGTTTGTAGTGACTGGAGGGAGAAGCTGGTGGCCCAGAGGATCACTGGATAAACCTAGAACTTGCTGCAGAAAGGAGGGGACAGTTTCCTACAAAAGAATGCATATGCTGAAGAAGTTATCAGGGAGAAAGTTTTCATGTGCAAACTGCATTTAGAGATAAGTTAGAATAAAAGGGTCAGAAGTTAACTCAGGAAGAAAATTATGAAGCTGGGAGACTAAAAACCAAGCAAGAGAATCGGGAGCTGTGAATCTCATTCCATTCTTTGAAAGGTTCTAAAGGGGGATCCTGAATCTTAAGGTATCTCAAGTAAACTGGTAGCATTTATTAAAAACACAAACTAGGCCTGGGAAGGTGGCTCAGTGGTAGAGTGCTTGCCTTGCATGCATGAGGCCCTGGGTTCGATTCCTCAGTAGCACATAAGCAGAAAAAGCCCGAATAGGTACTGTGGCTCAAGTGGTAGAGTACTAGCCTTGAGCTGAAGAGCTGAGGGACAGCGCCCAGACCCAGAATTCAGGCCCCACAACCAACAGAAAAACAAAAAACCCCCCCAAAACCCACAAACTAAAGCCACAACCATCACCACCAACAAAAACCCCAAACAAATAGCCAAATAAAAGATAGGACAGAGACACTGATCCTTAGGAAAACTTAACCTCTTGGAGGAGAGGCAAGTACAGCATTTGAGGTAGAAAAGTGCTAGATTATCTTCTAGAATTCACTGGGAGAACTTAAGCATGTAGAAGAACAAAAACCCTATGAAAACATAGTTCCCTAGAGACCAACATAGCGCTGATCTCACTTCATATTGTGTAAATATCTGGGAGGTGGCTGTGAAAGCTGCTCCTCCTCCATCTTTTGGTCAGTTCTCTTGGTCAGAAAGGCCTCTATTGATCCCTCCCGGGCCACAGTCCCATTCTCCCCTCTGCTCCTTTACCTCTCCGGCCAACCCCAACTTTATTTACCTCTTGACTGGCACCCTACCCACTCGGGGTTTGGGTTTGACTTTAAACTTGGTGATTTGTCTGCAAAAAGAAAGACATTGCTGGAGGTAATCATTAGAGATTTGGCCCAGGAAAGACAGAAGATGATTTTCTCTGTTCCTTGGAAGGCCCTTCATGCAGAGTGTGGGAGGGGTAGAGTGAAGGGTGGCTGGATTTCCAGCACACACTGACTGCTGAACACTATGAAGATGTGTATATACAATACTTCAGCAACTCACGGTGCTCTCTGGATTCAGTAATACCCATGGTAATGGAATTAGAGAAATCCAGACCAAAGATAGGTGAGAAGGTCAAAGCAAAGTTCAAGGGAGGAGAGAAACTAAGAATGTGGGCAAACTAAGGGAAGTGAGGAGTTGGTAGGGAGGAGGAGGAATGCGGGTGGCTAAGGCTACTGTCCAGACTGTGTTAGGGAAATGTAAGGATGGAAGGCTTTTCCTCAACCATCCTACATTTCTTTCCCTTTGTGTTCCCCAGGATCAAGCTTGTCCATTCCCATGCCTGCCTCCCTCCCTCTCTCAGGAATGGCCATTTCCAACCACATTCCTGATCCATCAGCTTGGGTTATGGGATGGACATGGATAGGCTACCATCCATCCATCCACCTCCTGGGGCCTCAGTGGCAAGCAGGAGGTCCCGGGGCTTTTGCCCCATTACCTTCCAAGGGACTTGGGGCGTTTGGCTGAGGCTTTGGCTGCTCGCTTCCTCAACTTTCTGTGAGGATAAGACAATAGGAATCAGGATCAGTGTAGAAACAAGTGGAAAGTACTAGTGACAACAGGCAGGGTTTCTTTCTCAGCAGAGTTCCTGATGGCAGGATATGACATCATCACATATTCCCAAGGCCCTACTTTCAAGGCTGTTTGGCCTCAAGAATATAGGACCAGGTGGATGAGCAACAGTGGAGGCAGTAGGCTCAGAAGTGATCGTGTGCTAATGCCAGGACCTTGGAAAACTAGACTAAGGCAGATGAGGAATGAAGAATCCTAGGTCCAGGTGTTGGTGGTAAACCTCAGGGGGTAGCTAAAGGTGGGGATGTTAAAACTGCTCCAATTGCGCTACTGACCAGTCTGAAATACTGACCAGCTGAGGAATCGAACCCAGGGACTCTGGCATGCAAGGCAAGTGCTCTACCACTGAGCCACCTTCCCAGCCCCTCTAGTATTATTGTTCAGGGCTGAGGTTGCTGTACCAGGACTAAGGCTGGACATCTGAGAAGGTTCCAGATCTAAGCTCATGTCCTTTGGTCATTCAAAAGGTGAGCTCATCTTCCCAATTTACTTCTGGGGAATAAATCTTATTTCTTTTTAATTGGCTTAAATAATTGACTTGTTTCATTCGCCAAGAGATTTCCTTAGGTCTTAACTGAAACAGAAACCAGGCCTGTTTCTTCTCTCATTCGCTATTTAATTTTGAAGACTTTCATTACAGCTCTACTTTGTCCTATGCAACTTTGTACAGATGAATGCAGGTCTTATCAGTATGTTCTTATAGGCTTATTATCATCTTTGTTTGTTTTTTTTTTTTTGGGTCCGGTCATGGGGCCTGAACTCTGGGCCTGGGCGCTGTCCCTTAGCTCTTCAGCTCAAGGCTAGCGCTCTACCACTTGAGCCACAGTGCCACCTCCGGTTTTTTTCTTTTTGCTTATGTGGTGCTGAGGAATCGAACCCAGGGCCTCTGGCATGCAAGGCATGCGCTCTACCACTGAGCCACCTTCCCAGCCTCTTATTATCATCTTTGTTGTCCTTTTGTGACCATGTTCCTTCCTGTTATGCAGTTTCTCATTTTGACATGGTGTTCTGTGTCAAGAGATTTTAATGTATATACTTGAAGCAGGTCAGAAGCTGTTTGGCATTTCCTGTTTGGCATGCCCTAGCTTCTTCCTGTGGCTATGCTTTGTCAGTCTTTGTCAAAGCATACACTGTGGCCACAATTCCTGATAAAGATTCTACAACTTCCAGGTTCATTTTCTTTCTTTCTTTTTTTTTTTGGTTGGTCATGGGGCTTGAACTCTGGGCCTGGGTGCTGTCCCTGCGCTCTTCAGCTCAAGGCGAAGCACTCCACGGATTGAGCCACAGCGCTACTTCCCCAGGTTCCTTTTCTAAGGCATTGCTAGAATGTAGAACCATTCACCTATAACTATGGCACGAAACGTCTCCAAGGACCTTTTATTAAAAAATGTCTAAAATGAAATAAATCTGGCACCTTTTTGTTGACTGATAAA